TCCAGCTTTAGTTAAAGGTGTCTAAAGGTGTTTTTGTGTTTGGCAGCGCGATGGCAGGTGTCCAGATCGGCCCACAGCTCCTCGGAGGGGGACAAACCTCCGCCCTCCATCCTCAAACACCTCACCTCCAAAATAAAAGCCACCGGCCCCATTTCTGTGGCCGAGTACATGAGGGAGGTCCTCACCAACCCGGTGACGGTACGTGATGAAGAGCCTAAAAAAGCCTAAAAAACACTCTCGTTAAAACATCTGCTCTGGGGGAAAAAAAAGGAAAAAAAAAAACATCTGCTCTACTCCGGCCTCAGGGGTCAAAGGTCATCCCTCTGATCTTCCATTAAGAGCAAAACTTTGCTCAATATCTTCTTAAAAGTAGCTGTGAATTAAATTTAGATAATAAATCTGCTATAGATGCTGAATAATGTTGGTTGTGATTGGAAGAAAGATTGGGAAAGAACAATATAAATATAAGGTTGTGGTGTAAAATCTGACCTCTGACCTCTTTAATAAACTCTAGAGGATGTTGATGTCACTTTCTTATATTTTTTAGAATTATTTTAAAGGATTAAATTGAATAAATGGGACCCTTGGAAGTAGGGAAAGAACAATATTAAAATAAGTTTGTCGTGTAAAATCTGACCTCTGACCTCTTTAATAAACTCTAGAGGATGTTGATGTCACTTTCTTATATTTTTTAGAATTATTTTAAAGTATTAAATTGAATAAATGGGACCCTTGGAAGTAGGATTTCTTTGAAAGACAGCTCCTTACTTGCTAGTGATAGTAAATATATTTATATATTTTTTTAGATGTTAGCTGGGAAGTTAGAAGAGATCCAGATGTGGGGGATGTTTTTATTTTAATCTCATAAGGAATTTAAGGAGGAATGAGTCTGTTTCTGAGCATCTTAGGCCTTATTTGGCCTTTTAACAAAATATGTAAAGAGAAAAATCAGAAATACATTTTGATATTAATAATTTATTACTATGCAATAAGTCCAGATTATTTTTGTGTATTCTTCTGCCCCCTGTTATCAGGTGTATCTGATTGTGTACAACAGGATTTTGAGCAAAGTTTTTACCATTAAATGATGCAAAAGGTGTCAGAATCAAAACATTTCAGAAACCGTATGAATCAGATATGATACATTTGGCATTACATTGAATATGGAACAAGCAACTTGCAACAAGCAAATAAAAAACACACATTAATGGCATGCAATTATGAAATAAGATTTTAAGACATTTTTCCGGGTGGTTCTCTGTGTGTTTCTGACCCTGTTTGCTCCCATCCTCAGGGTTATTATGTGAAGAACGACATGCTGGGGCCTGATGGAGATTTCATCACATCACCAGAGATCAGCCAGGTGTTCGGGGAGGTGAGGCCCTTAATCTTTTCTCCTACAGGTTCCCCTGGTGATGTCACTCATTTGCCGGCCTTTGATCTTGACGCGGAGCTGCTAATTGGCTCGTTTTAATCATCGATCTGTACCAGAGGTGTCAAACTCTTGTAATTATATTTGGACCGTGTAGGAGCCATTTATCCTTTTTTGTGTTTATCGCCACCAGGGGGCGTTTTTCATTTTGAGTTCTGTGCGTCTAATGAGGGATGGGTTATTTAAGGTCTGCCGTGATTGATTTCAGGCGTTGTTGATAAGAAGGGGCAACAGTTTTCTACTGTGTTGCTGGTTGATTTTCGATGGCAGAATATAGTTGAATTACAATGGAAATATGGAAATGGACACTATGCAAACAATAAACATCTTTATTATAAATCAAACCAAAGACTGGCATCCGGATTTCTAAACAGAGCACACGTAAGACCAACACCCTTTTAAAGTCAACAACCAGTAGCCTAAAATACTGGATTTTAGCCGCTACAGACCGTGAGATAATATCAAATGACTCTTAGAGCTGGCCCCCGGTATTATACTGTACAGACCATTAACTGCTCGTACTACAACTCCCATAATGCCCTGCTGCTGTTCAGGACAGGACCCAGAAACTCCAAAAATGACCAAAAGAAAGGAAGCAAACAGGAGCTTTCTGGACAAGCTCATTTAGTTTTTGATGTTTAATTCAGAAGGCTGCGAATAGAAAAATGTTTTAAAATTTTTATTTAATAAATTAATGCCATCGATGTGTTTTTTTTTATTTGGAATTTGATTTACCATGTCTCCACTATTAAGTTATATATAATGTAGTAAGAGTCGCTTGTTCCTTATTCAGTGTTTTTTTGTTTGTTTTTTAACTTTATTGCCTTAAATGCGGGTTATCATGCATTTAGCCTCATAGAGGGGAACAGAAAGAGACAGGCAAACATAAAACAAAAATAAACACAAGAAAAAAATAAAAAAAATAAAACAGAAATTGGGTCTAGTCTGTCACACTTTAGAGGGTATAGCACATATCCTATATTCAATGTTAAAGGAAAATTGGGGAAATGAAAAGAAAGCTGCGAATAGAAAAATGTTTTAAAGTTTTATTTCATAAATTAATGCCATTGATGTGTTTTTTTATTTGAAATTTGATTTTGCATGTCTCCACTATTATGTTATATACAGTATAAGGTAATAAGAGCTGCTTTTTCCATATTCAATGTTAAAGCTAAATTAGTTTAGTTCCATATTAAAAGGTTCATTTGTTCAATTTAGGCCCAATTTAAAACCTAAGATCAGATTTTAAATTTTGAGTTTGACACCCTGAACTGGACTCAGATGGGCTCAGGGCCTCTGCAGAGCTCCAGAACTCCACCTTTGAACCCAGAGTTGCAGAATAACTCGTCTGAGAAGCTGTAAGGCTGTAAACTCCCTCTTTCTGTTTCTGTTCCCCAGTTGCTGGGCGTTTGGGTGCTCAGCGAGTGGATGGCGGCCGGTCGGCCCAAAAAGCTTCAGCTGGTGGAGCTCGGACCGGGGAAAGGCTCTCTGGCCGGAGACATCCTCAGGGTAGGGGACCCCTTTTCCTCCCCTCCTGAAACCGTGAGGACCAAAGTAGGCTGGTCCCGATTCCCATATTAGCAAAACCCAATCCCGGCCTATCAGAGCATGTGTTAAAGTTTAAAGTTATTTATCTACTTACTTAGTTGTCAGACTCATGTTGAACAGGGATTCACTCTGATAACAACTTAATGGTTAGGACACAGACCTGTGAGTTACAGATGCTAATGCCTAAGGGTGTGCTGGAAAATGACTGGATATCAGGATATATATAATTTGAAGTTTATATAAGAATATTTGAAGTTTAGTGCTGAAACATTGTGGATGAAAGTGCAGATCCAGACTCCAGATCCAGTTTTTCTTTAAAAGTCCGATCCCCCATTAGCATCTGTAACCCACAGGTGTGTGTCCTAACCATTAAGTTGTTATCAGAGTAAATCCCTGTTCAGCATGAGTCTGACAACTAAGTAAGTAGATAAATAACTTTAGACTTTAACACATGCCCTGATAGGCCGGGATCGGGATCGGAGGTGAAAAAATCTGGATCGGGACATCCCTAGATAGGACACAGACCTGTGGGTCAGGAGATGCTAATGCTAATGCCAATGCTAAAGGGTGAGCTGGAAAATGACCGGATATCACAGAACAACACAGCAAAGTGGAATGGAATATTTGAATTGGTGCTAGGCTTGTTAGCTAGCATTAGCATTAGCATCTGTAACCCACAGGTCTGTATCCTAACCATTAAGTTGTTATCAGAGTAAATCCCTGTTCAGCATGAGTCTGACAACTAAGTAAGTAGATAAATAACTTTAGACTTTAACCCATGCTCTGATAGGCCGGGATCGGATCGGATCGGAGTTGAAAAAAGCTGGATGTGGACATCCCTAATTAAAACTGAGTCTAAACTGTTTTGCTGTCCCTCTAGGTGTTCGATCAGCTGCGCTCGGTGTGGAAAGAGGCCTCGGTGTCCCTGCACCTGGTGGAGGTGAGCCCCACCCTGAGCCAGCTCCAGGCCCAGCACCTGACGGGGGGGGGCAGCCAGGGGGCGGAGCCTAAAGACGGCCCCGCCTACCGCCGCGGCCACACCCCCGCCGGGCTGCCGGTGGTCTGGACCCGCCGCCTGGAGGACGTCCCGGAAGGTGGGAGCTTTAAACTAGAGGCTGACATTTTTTCGGGAATCCCAGGGGATTCCCACGGGATACCCGTGGGATGGGATTCATCTTTGCTATTAACTCATTGGCTGCCAAAGATGTCTATAGACGTCTTTTATGTTTTTCAGCGAGAGTGGCTTGGGGGACGATCTGCTAAAGCTTGTCCGTAAATATTAGGCTTCTAGACAGAGTATGTAGTAACAAATTGACCCTCTAGGAGGCAGTGCCACTTTTGATGGGAGATGAGCATAGACTGTAGGCAAATAAGAAAAAGGGAACGGTTCTATGAGAGAACATGTCGCCGGTGAGACGCAAGTCCAGGAAGAACGGAATAAGGTAGAAACAAATGTTTTTTTTCCTGATGAAAGAAGAGAGTCTACTCTTTCTTTTGGTGTGTTCGGTGTTTACATAGTCATAGCACAAACTATTCTGTGGCTCTTGAAAAATCAGTCAAAATGCTCAAAAAACTCTGGCAGTATGGGACTCTGTTCTGAAAATGGCTGGCAGTCAATGAGTTAATCACGGGATTTGGACGGTACGGGATAAATTGTTAACGGGAGCAGACGGGAGCGGGAATTAACCAATAGCAAAGACGAAAAAAAAAAAAAAGTAAATGCACCATTTTGTAGTTTCCTTTTAATTTGCCTACAATGTAACGCAATTAAAAAATAACTACATGACCCGGCCGTCCCAGAAGCCATCAGGGCTTTTTGTCATGGCTTACCGCCGGAATTAAAAGAGCAGTGAAACACTGAATTAAACTCTATCCATAATATTATGTTAAAATAGTGGATGTTAAATAGGTTTGTACAATAAGTCCAAACAAGTTTAACCAAAAAATATTTATTTCTCACAATTATGAAAGGTGGAGGGTTAGGGTCAGGGTTAGGGTTAGGGTCATTAATGTGGGCCACCATAACCTCAGTGGTTTTGTCATTCTGTTGATCAGAGCTGGTGAATTTGTATCTTCTGACCATTTTGAGCATTTTAAATAATTCCCCAGACTTCCCTCCACTTACGAGGTCTTTGTTGTCCCTCTTTTCTCAGAATTCAGCATCTTTGTGGCTCACGAGTTCTTCGACGCTCTGCCCATCCACAAGTTCCAGGTGAGGAGTGTGTCAGTCCCCCGTGTGGCCACCAGGTGGCAGCAGAGCCACAGCAGTGGAGTTTCTCTGTTTTCTGCCTTTTAAAGGGGACACATTATGCAAAACCAAGTTTTTAATCATGTGATTGTGTACATTTGGGACTGTGGAGGGCCTATCAGCAGGCAAAGTGTGAAAAAAATGACTGGGTCATGTTTTTGTGGGCCGCCTCAGTCTGAATCCAGGAGATAAATCAGGAGGTTTCAGGAGTGGGTAGTTTCTGACGTCATTAGCTCTAGCTCATTATAATATTATTATTATTATAATATTAATATTATTATATATTATCTAGCTCATTATAATATTCCAGCCTTTCACCTGCATGTTGCCCCCCCCCTCAGCTTATTCCCCTATCTGTGGAGACGTCCTGGTAGCGTGAGCGTTAGCATGGTAGCGTTAGCATGGTAGCGTTAGTGCGAGCATGATAGCGTTAGCGTGAGCATGTTAGCGTGAGCATGGTAGCGTTAGCATGGTAGCGTGAGCATGGTAGCGTTAGTGTGAGCATGGTTGCATTAGTGTGAGCATGGTAGCGTTAGTGTGAGCATGGTAGCGTTAGCATGGTAGCGTGAGCGTTAGCGTGGTAGCGTTAGCATTGTAGCGTTAGCATTTTAGCGTTAGTGTGAGAATGGTAACGTTAGTGGGAGCATGATAGCGTGAGCATGATAGCATTAGCATGGTAGCGTGAGCGTTAGTATGGTAGCGTTAGCATGGTAGCGTTAGCATGGTAGCGTTAGCGCGGTAGCGTTAGCGTGGTAGCGTTAGCATTGCAGCGTTAGCATGGTAGTGTTAGCATGGTAGCGTTAGCGTGCCGACGTGGGCACACCTCCCTGAAGAAGTGGGTGGATTGCCTGTGTCTCATTTGCATTTAAAGAGACAGGCACTCCAAAGCGAGCGCTCTGAACGGGGCTGTTTTGGGTTAGGGTTAGGGTTAGGGTTAGGGTTAGGGTTAGGGTTAGGCAGGGGGACTGAACTGCTATTGGGCTTCATCCTTATGGGATTCTGACCAAAGCTTGTCACAGACATTACATTAGGACAGGGTTTTTCAACCTTTTTTGAGCCAAGGTACATTTTTTCATTGAAAAAATCACGAGGCACACCACCAACCAAAAATGTTAAACAAATCTGTAGCCTATAGTAACACTATAGTTATTCTTATTTTATTTTTATCTTATCTTAAGTGTATTGAATAGGAATCAAATAAACACAAAAATGTATTTTTATCGTATTTTATATTTCTTCTTTCAAATTGTACTTAACATGTCCACTTCAGTATACAAAATTAAATACAAAATTTAGTCATAAGGAATTATTACATGATTACTCCACCAGTCACTAGAACAGCACAGACACTCAAAAATGGCATATTATTTGCAGATAATTAATTCCTTATCAAAAAATCTTTTTAGACCAATTAGGTGAAATAGGATGATTTTCTACGGCACACCTGACCATCACTCACAGCACACTAGTGTACCGAGGCACAGTGGTTGAAAAACACTGCATCAGGACACCAGGGAGCTAGCTTAACTTGTTGGAATAGGGTATAATATGTCTCCTTTAAACGTTCTGAGCAGAAGACGGACAAAGGCTGGAGGGAGGTGATGGTGGACATCGACCCCGAGCAGCCGGGACAGCTGCGCTTCGTCCTGCTGCCCAACGCCACGCTGGCCTCCGCCTCCCTGGTGCAGGTGGGCGCACATACCGGTCCAGGAGGTTCCAAAATGGCCTCAGGTGCCTCAGATCTCAGGCTAATAAGGTCTCAGGAGACTAAGGCCTCAGTCACCACGTTCAAAAGCCTCACACACGAGCATTAGCATTAGCATCTGTAACCCACAGGTCTGTGTCCTAACCATTAACTTATCAGAGCATTAGCATTAGCATCTGTAGCCCACAGGTCTGTGTCCTAACCATTAAGTTGTTATCAGAGCATTAGCATTAGCATCTGTAACCTACAGGTCTGTGTCCTAACCATTAAGTTGTTATCAGAGCATTAGCATTAGCATCTGCAACCCACAGGTCTGTGTCCTAACCATTAAGTTGTTATCAGAGTATTAGCATTAGCATTAGCATCTGTAACCCACAGGTCTGTGTCCTAACCATTAAGTTGTTATCAGAGCATTAGCATTAGCATCTGTAACCCACAGGTCTGTGTCCTAACCATTAAGTTGTTATCAGAGTATTAGCATTAGCATCTGTAACCCACAGGTCTGTGTCCTAACCATTAAGTTGTTATCAGAGCATTAGCATTAGCATTAGCATCTGTAACCCACAGGTCAGTGTCCTAACCATTAAGTTGTTATCAGAGCATTAGCATTAGCATCTGTAACCCACAGGTCTGTGTCCAAACCATTAAGTTGTTATCAGAGCATTAGCATTAGCATTAGCATCTGTAACCCACAGGTCTGTGTCCTAACCATCAAGTCTTTATCAGAGCATTAGCATTAGCATCTGTAACCCACAGGTCTGTCTCCTAACCATTAAGTTGTTATCAGAGTATTAGCATTAGCATCTGTAACCCACAGGTGTGTGTCCTAACCATTAAGTTGTTATCAGAGTAAATCCCTGTTCAACATGAGTCTGACAACTAAGTAAGTAGATAAATAACTTTAAACTTTAACACATGCTCTGATAGGCCGGTAGTAAAATTAGGCAAAATTGATGTTTAGTGATCAAACATCGTGAATAAAAGTGGAAAATTCACAAAAAGTGTCAAATTTGGCAAAAATTCTCCTGTTGAATCTAAATATCCTGTTTGTTTTTAAAAAAAAAAGGCTTTTTAAAAAATTTGGAAATGTAAATATTTGAAATTTAATGCTTAAACATTGTGGATAAAAATGCAGATCCAGACTCCAGATCCAGTTGTTTTTTAAAAGTCAGATCCCTCATTAGCATTAGCATTAGCATCTGTAACCCACAGGTCTGTGTCCTAATCATTAACTTGTTATCAGAGCATTAGCATCTGTAATCCACAGGTCTGTGTCCTAACCATTAAGTTGTTATCAGAGTAAATCCCTGTTCAACATGAGTCTGACAGCTAAGTAAGTAGATAAATAACTTTAGACTCTAACCCGTGCTCTGGTCCTGAGGTAGTCTTTATTTTATCCGTTAGCCTGATGAGCGGCGGGAGCAGGTGGAGGTGTGTGCGGAGGGCGGGGCCATCGTGCAGCAGTTGGCCCGCCGTATCTCCCGGGACGGAGGCGCCGCGCTCATCGCCGACTACGGCCACGACGGGACCAAGACCGACACCTTCAGGGTACATGCATTTATTTATTTATTTACTACGGCCACGACGGGACCAAGACCGACACCTTCAGGGTACGGGGGGGGGGCATTTATTTATATATCCATCCATGAATTCATTTATTTATCCATCCATTTATTTATTTATTTAGTTATCCATCCATTTATTTATCCATCCATTTATTTATTTATCCATCCATGCATTCATTTATTTATCCATCCATCCATCCATCCATTTATTTATTTATTTAT